ATATAGAAGATCATTCATTGATAAACCATACCCAAATCCTTCATGGCCACCTCATAACTAAGAAAACATATCCATAAGAATTTAACTTAAGTTCTCTTCTTTCCAAAGAATTGCAAAGTAATTTCATCAAACTGTAATAGAATGGTAGGAAAAATGCAGGAGAAATTCTATCCTGAGAGCTACCTTATGTTCCTGGAATCAGTCTTAGAAAGAGTAAACTTTGGATAATCTCTTGCCAATATGAGTGGAAGATTCTAAGTAATATGGCGAGTCACTCAGCTTACTATAAATTCTACTACCTTGCATCATTAGGGAATATAAAATAATAGGTCTGTAGCAGAGGTGGTATTCAGCAGGTTCTGACCAGTTCTGGAGAACCAGTAGCAAAAATTTTGAGTTGTTCGGAGAACCGGCAAATACCACCTCTGACTGGCCCTTCCCCCATCTATTCTCTGCCTCCTGAGTCCCAGCTGATTGGCTGAGTCTTCTTTGGTTGCCCTGCACAGGAGAACAGAGATGGAAAGCAGGTTAGTGGGGTGGGGAGGGAATGGGATTTTGTAGTAACCTTCCTCCAGGAGTGGGGAGGGAATGGAGAGTATCCTTCCACTGCCATGCCCACAAAGCTATGCCCACAAAGCCACACCATGCCCACAAAGCCACGCTCAGAGAACCGGTAGTAAACATTTTTGAATCCCACCACTGGTCTGTAGCCCTATATAATTCAGGATCTGGCAGCTATCAAAGGCAGGTTTTAGATCTAGAGAGAATAGCTTGGCTCAGCGCTTCCAATCAAGAATATTTCCCATGTATTCAGCTAGTACAAAGAAGCCGCTGTACACCAGGGATAGCTGTGCTTAGTTGACCTTGAGATTCTTGTAGAGGGTGTTGAGGGGGGAATTACTGACAGAAAATGAAGTGGTTTTGAAATAATGTGTTGTCTCTAGAGAAAGAACGAATCCATCACAATCTTCAGAAGGTGCTATTTGGTTTACTCTGGAAAATAGCCAGGGAGAGGGGCCCAACTCTTTCAGACAGTCTCTTGGCTGCGAGACAAGTAAGTGGGATGGGAGATTATAGAATGTGAGAGCGTGGGATCAGTACATGATGGGAAAATATGAGAAAGAGTGGGGGAAGAGGGTTGGTTTCCCTTGCAAATGTTAACTGGTTAAACTAAGATATGTAATTCCAGTTTCAAAATAAAAGCTTCCCTTCCCGTGATCACCAAAACAAGAATGCTAAACCTATCCCTGAATGGTATAAATAGCATGAATTGGATTAGTTCAAATCCTGTGTGCCAGAACCTGAGATGCCGAAGCCATTCCTGCTGGAATATATGACTCTGTGCTTTTCATCTGAATCACTTCAGTGAATACAGCTGCAGGATTGATGCCAAAGGTCACCCACAAGATCTATTTTTTTAAAAAAGAAGAAGAAAGTATGGCATCATTTAGATCTACTGGGGTTGTGCATGAAATGAGAAGAATGCTTTGTTTCAAAACCCAAGCAAATTACCACATTTTGCTAAACTGGTCAATGGCAGCTTAGCAAAAACAAAACCCAGAAATGTTGGTTGTTCTACTTTGAACCAAAATAAGAGGGAGTCACGCTATTCTCCAAAGCACCTGAGGGCAGGACAAGAAGCAATGGGTGGAAACTAATCAAGGAGAGAAGCAACCTAGAACTAAGGAGAAATTTCCTACAGTTAGAACAATTAATCAGTGGAACGACTTGCCTCCAGAAGTTGTAAATGCTCCAACACTGGAAGTTTTAAAGAAGATATTAGATAACCATTTGTCTGAAATGGTAGAGGGTTTCCTGCCGAAGCAGAGGGTTGAAGACCTCCAGGGTCCCTTCCAACTCTGCTATCCTATAAAGCAGTGGTGAGATTCAAAAAAAATTTCTATCGGTTCCGTGGGCGTGGCTTGGTGGGCATGGCATGGCTTGGTGGGTGTGGCTTGATGGGCATGGCAGGGGAACGATACTGTAAAATCTACATTCCCTCCTCACTTCTGGGAGAAGGTTACCACCGGTTCTCCGAACTACTCAAAATTTCCACTACCGGTTCTCCAGAACTGGTCAGAACCTGCTGAATACCACCTCTGCTATAAAGAGATCAGAGAGATCCTTGAATGATTTTATGGGGTAAAGGCCTGTTTTTCCTTGCTTTGCCTACATGGCCTGTAAATTTTCTGCTCCATTGCTCTAGGGCAGGGGTGTCCAACCTTGGCAACTTTAAGGCTTGTGGACTTCAACTCCCAGAATTCCTCAGCCAGCTAAGCTGGCTGAGGAATTCTGGGAGCTGAAGTCCACAAGCCTTAAAGTTGCCAAGGTTGGACACCCCTGCTCTAGGGTCTTCCCTTCCCTCATTTTTTCTTATGTAGCTATCACTGCTATCCCAGTTCAGTGCAGTGCTCCCAACCTACCTGTTCTTTAATTCCTTCTCTCCCTTCTGTGACTCCATTAACTGTCTCCACTTCTACCAATAACCAATTTGGTCTAATTTTACGGCATCTTACCAGTGGTGGGATTCAATTTTTTTTTACTACCGGCTCTGTGGGTGTGGCTTGGTGGGCGTGGCTTGGTGGGCATGGCAGGGGAAAGATACTGTAAAATCTCCATTCCCACCACACTCTAGTGGGAAGGTTACTGCAAATCACATTCCCTCTCCACCTCACTAACCTGCTTTCCAGCTCTGTTCTCCTTTGCAGGGCAACAAAAGAAGACCCAGACAATCAGCTGAGATTCGGGAAGCAGATAATAGATGGGGGAGGTGGTATTTGCCAATTCTCTGAACTACTCAAAATTTCTGCTACCAGTTCTGCTGAATACCACCTCTGCACCATGCTACAAATCAGGAGACTGAGAGTTCCAAGGCCCATCACATATCATCTTCCAGAACAACTAATATCATATCTGTCCCACAAATAGCTCCAAATATTGACTAAGAAGGGCAATCCATTTCCTTTAGGATCAAACCCCACCATGCTGACCAACTTAGGAAACAACAAAACCATAGTAGTTAAGATGTTGGCCTAGAAACCAGGTTTGCACGAGTTCTAGACTCACCTTAGGCATAAAAGCCAGCTGGGTAGCATTGGGCCAGTCAACTTTCTCTCAGTCCAATTCACTGTACAAGGTTGTTGTGGGGAAAATAGGAGGTGGACAGAGTTTTTGTACTGCATGTTTTCTGCCTTGATAAATTCATAAAAATAATCAAATCAATAAAGATTATCAAAATAAAAAACCCAAACAAGAATAATTTGAATTTGTAGAAAGATTTTTATTGCTACTAGGGTAAATTAACATAATATTTTAGCTTCTGAGATGCTTTAGAAGTATGATAATCTTGTCCTTGTCATAGCTTATGTGAGTTAGGCTACTATGGGTTGGGCAATTAGACACTTTTTGATAAAGTGAAATGGGGTACCCATTTTATTGGAAGATGTTGTATAGTTTTGGATTGTTTCAGTTCATTTGTGCTAATTTCAGGTCTTCAAATTTCATTTTGGATTTAATCCTAATTGGATTATCTTTGAATTGGTCCAAAGAGCATCATGAATTGTATTTTATATTTCCTATAGTTGCATCATACCTTTTCTCAAGGCAGCCTATGGAGGTTCACTTTTTATTTTATCCCCACAATAACAATCTTTCAAGGTAGATTAGTCTGGAAGAATTCCATCATCAGATGGAAACTTTAACAAGTCTAACTCCAGACATTCTAGCCACTATGTTACATTTTTGAATTTAAAAATCATAATTAGAAACAAATCTATGATTAAAATCCAATAAAGAACATTTCTAATGCCAGAATTCTAATTTGAATGGGGCTAGAGGGAGAGAAATAATGCTAACATATCATCACATCTTCATTCCTTGTTCCTCTAGTAGAGACAGAGATAAAAATACTGTATTTATTTTCATTCCAAAATTGGACTCTGGAAGTCACTGTCCTAGCTATAGATGATGGGCTCAAGACGTAAGTGGTCTGTTCAGAATGATCAATCTACTCAACTGTTCACATTGTCTCTTTCCTTTTCTCCTGCCACAATTTTTCCTCATTTACTCATTTGATTCACCCTACATAAGACACTATCATTCCTGAATTTATCCTGTTCCTTTTTACATCATAAGGTAAAGGTAAAGATTCCCCTCACACATACGTGCTAGTCATTTCTGGCTCTAGGGGACAGTGCTCCATTACAAAGCCGAAGAGCCAGCGCTGTCCAAAGACATCTCCGTGGTCATGTGGCCAGCATGACTAAACACCGAAGGTGCACAGGACACTGTTACCTTCCCACCAAAGTGGTCCCTATTTTTCTACTTGCATTTTTGCATGCTTTTGAACTGCTAGGTTGGCAGAAGCTGTGACAAGTAATGGGAGCTCACACCATTTCATGGTGCTAGGGGTTTGAACCACCGAACTGTCAACCTTTCTGATTGACAAGCTCATCAGCTTAGCCACTGAGCCACCACGTCCCTCTTTACATCATAGCCAACTCTTTAAATCTTCAGCTTTAGTAGTTTCTGAGGACCAATTGATTAGGGAGAATGGCTAGATCAATATGAATTCCAGAGATAAAATCTTGAACTGAGCTATGGATGCCACTGGAATGTTAATATGCAGAGAGGATGATTGAACAATCTTGAGGTATTTCTGCCTGGTCCCAATCACTGCATCTGGACAATGAAATGAGACCTCAAAAGCATTTTCTTCAGAAACCCCATTCCACCATGGAATGTCCAAAGTTCTCAATTCTTTTGGACCCAACAAAATACATTCGTTACAAAAACACATATGGGGAAGTGTTTTCACATGTGATCTTGGACTGACAGTCTCTTAGGCAGAGACTGGGAAAAAGAACCACAGTAATTTCCAGGGAACATCCAGAAATAAAGATGTTATTCTGTGAAGATGATGCCTGGGGGAGAAAAAGGCCTTGAACTCCACCAAGATTCCAAATTTCTGAATAACAGAAAACAAGAAACATCTGCCTAACTTCATTAGAATTTGCAAATAGAGAAATTAAACTGTAATGTATGCACAATTTATTTCTTTCACAAAAGACAAGTTGTGGAGTTTATTTCTTCTAAATGTTTATCCTTTTAGCAAGAGTGACTGGTTCTCTGTAGTAGCATATTACTTCATTGCACAAAACATCCTCTGTTTTATGTATGTATGTATGTATGTATGTATGTATGTATGTATGTATGTATGTATGTATGTATGTATATATGTGTATATATACACACATATACACATATATAAAATGGTTACAGCAATATAGCTCTGCTTTTCCAAACTCATATTTCTTAGGAAGTGTGACATTGTTTTATTCACAATGTTTAAACTAAGTTTCACTGTTAAAACCTAGATGGACAGTTAACACTTTACAATAAGTGGTCTTGAATTTGCATATACTAATAAATGAAGATTTATAACAAATGTAGAAGTGTTGTAATTTGCATGGAAATATCATGTAGTAGTTCATCCTAGCAGATGTGTCCAAGTGTTCTATATATTGATCAGGTTGATGGCTAAATATTAACCCACTAGTTAGAAATTTCAAATTCATTGTTTTCACTTCTGCTTGTATTAATTCTAACCAAGCTTCCAGGATTTGAAACTAGTCTTTGATTAATGGTTATAGATACCCTGTTTCAATCCTTCACTAACCAGTCTAACTCTTTTTCCCTTTCACACATCTTGGAGAATCTTCTTTACCTATTGCACGCTTTATTATTTTGCTATCTTCAATAGTCTGCCATTTTCTGTTCTCCTTCATGTACTATCCTATGGCTATTCAGTAGGCTAGCTGATTTCTTGTATTTAGATGAAAAGAGTACCATAATCACCATGGGAATAACACTGGTATCTTGGGGTAGTGGAGTTAACTCTTTGGTCCATATTTCCATTATTCTTTTAGGGATTGCTGTTACTTGTCTTAATTAATTGTCAATTCCATCAGAAGACAGGTCATAAGCAATGAACTGATTGTGCAGAGATCAGAATTTAAATAGTAAATTCTATGAACAATTTGAGTCTGGGTTAGTTGTCATTCCAGCCAGGCAAGAGTCTGGTATGCCAACTTTCATCCTTTGATCTAATAAATGTTGAAGGTTTGCTTCTTTGGGAATGATCCCGAGGACCTAGTGTTTTTATTTTATTGTTGTATAAATAATATCCAGAGCAAACATATTAAAGTACATGTTCATTTCGCAGAAAAGAGGGAAGGAAAAAAAATCCTCCCCCAGCTGAAATAAAGTTTTGTAGCATACAAAGCAGATAGAAATTGGACAGCTAAGAGAAATGTACGATAAACGATAGTACTCTGGGGTACTACTATTTCTATTATATATTGTGGCTTATCGCTGCCCTGGGCTTTCATAACCTATAATTGAAGCTGAGGAGAGCATAGTCAGAGCTCAATTACCTTTTAGCACGTCTGGGCTGAAAATGGACAAGTGAATCCACATTTATACAGGAAGGAAAAGTGGCTATTCTATTCAGCAGTGCCCAATTGGTTGTTTCATGTGTCATCGAGGAAACCTTTAACAAACCTTCAAGTATGTTCACAGCAAGGTTTACTGAACTGGACAATTGTTGCATTGGATAGAAATTCACACAATCCTGTCACATTCCTGTCTTCTGGGATGGACAGACATGTGGAGGACAGACAGAGAAATAGATTTTACTTCCCCATCTAGCTTACAAAAATTGGATTTCTTGGCAATTTCATTAAAATATGAGCCAGATACCCAATCCTCCTTAATTTTTAGGTGATCAGCCAAGCCAGGTGTTTCCTCATATTAGGGCATGTATGGTGTATGGCCTCAAATTATATACTGAACTGAATATGTAGAATGGATCTACATTGAATGGTTGGTCAGCCAGTTATGAATCCATCTGGTGGTGATAGAAGTAGTCTGGTGATAGTTTTGTAACATAGATGATGGACAAGTTTCTGACTTTCGTTATTCACAAGTAGCTCCCATTGCTTGCATCCTATGCATGCATTTGAAGCTTCCATCTGTATGGTACATAACAGGTTTGAGTAGTCAAAGTGGCACATAAGTGATCTGAGCATGCTTCAATTGTACATGGAATGAAATGAGCATGCATTGTCTGGAGTGGGCGATCTTTAGCTATTCAGATATTGCTAAGCCATAACACTGAGCATCCTTCCCCTTTTAATTTTTTTAGTTAGATCTAGACCACAGTTTGTCAACTTTAGCAACTTTAAGATATGTGAACTTCAACTCCCAGAATTCCCCAGTCTGCAAGTCTGAGAAACACTATTCAGTGAAGCCCAACTCTTCTGACTGAGTATGTACATGCAGTGAAGATATGGTTGTTTTGCCTAAAATAAAAGAATATTAGAATCTTCCAGCCCCAAGAAAAAGAAAAATGGGGGGGGGAAAGCTCAACTGAGGAAGTTGACTTACTCCCCAAAGGGCAGAGATTGGAATCTGAAAACAAAATGAATTGTAATTAAAAGCCAGTGAGTGTATACATATATACCCTTCATATTGTCTTCATATTTTATTGGTAACTTTCAGCAGTTTTCCCACAAAGGGTTATTCAGATGCTCACATTACAAAAACTCTGAGAAGCATTAATAATACATCAAAACTCACTGAGCAGGAAGAGTCAAGCATACAATTGGTTCATATACAGCAAACCATAACATCCATTAGCAGAGATGGAAGACATTTCATCATAAACTCACAGAGCTGTCCTTGCCTCTGAAAACAAAATGACTTCCTTCTCTTGGGCTATAATGCCTATTATCTGAAGGCTGAGGTAATAAAATAGTATTAAACATAATTTATTGTTATTTCCACCAAGACTGAAGCATAAACTGAAACATTATTGAACACTGCAGTTGACTGCATTAGAATACAAACTTGCTTGGATGTGTTGCAAATCAAGCAACGGCTTCCCCCAAATATTGTTTTATTCAGCTCAGAGTATAAAAATGACTGCTTAATTTTTAGAAGCTTCTGTTTAATCAGTAAAATTCATTGAAACTTCCAGTGGATTACCTACAATCTTGCTACTGGCTCCAATATACAGTTTCGCATACTGCAACCACATTCCATTTCTTTAAAAAAAAAATCAGGTAGCAAGCAATTAGAATATTCCAATATTTCTCCTTGAAGACCATTATTTGATATATACCAAGGATGTCAAACTCAAGGCCTGAGGGCCAGATCTGGCCCACGGGGTGCTTAGATCTGGCCTGCGGGTCTGCCCTGGAAATAGCAAAGGGCCGCAGTGCCTCTGCCAGTAGAAATGGACCTTGGGAAGACCATGGGAAGTGCTCCTGCACTCCATTTTCACTGGAAGAGGGTTGTAGGAGGCCGTTGCTGCTGAAAATGGAGCTCAGGAATCTGTTTTCTTTGGCAGAGCTCTCGGGCCACCACAGGCACCCCAACATGAGTGACGTCGAACTGGCCACACCTACCCCAGCCACACTGACTTTGGTCCCCCGAGGTCAAACACAACCCTGATGCGGCCCTCAATGAAATCAAGTTTGACATCCCTGATATATACTATAGTTCTGGGCAATAATATAGAGGCAGATTGCCCTTGGTTATTTGAGATATTTATCTCCTGTCTGCAATGTGGTGTCCTCTACGAGCATTAACCACATTCGGCCTTGTTCAGCTTTTCAAGATCAGCCAAGGTGAGCGAGGTGCTATCTGAAGGCATTGCCCATTTAAGGCTTTGGAACAATCAGCATTGTGTTAATACACTTTTCCCATTATGGTGAGAGCATTTACATTATAGGAGAGCAGAATGTAATTAAGCATTAGGAGAAATTTTAAAGCAGTAAGAGCAGTTTGACATTAGAGGCAATTATTCAGAGAAGCGATTAACTATTGTTCACTGGATGTGATTAAACAAGGGCTAGGCAACTTTCAGCTCTCAGGAAGCCGAACATGAGCCCAATTTATGATTCCATGAGAAGGCATCTCTCTTCTACTTAAACTATAATAAACAATTTCTATTAAGAAGTCTATAATGTTGGGAAAGGTGGACAACTGGTGGCAAGATGGATGGACTTGATTATAGAGGTAATGGATGGACTGAAAGGCCATGTTGTAGAGCGCTATTTCTGGTCTATCAACAGAGTTGATAAGAGTCAACACACACTTCAATCAGTATCTTAATGCATTTAATCAATAAATAATTATACTATTATAATTACAATTATTTCTAAGTTTGCATCCATTCATTTATGAAATATATGCAGTTCAGCTGCAAATATGCATCTTTATTTATCATTTGGGGAGGGAAGGAATCATTGCCTGGTGTTTTGTTTTCAGCAATATGTCCATTGCAACTAGAGGCAGGACTATCATTTCTATATTGCAACTATCCTACTAGATAATAGCCAAAAGTTTCCAAACCTCTTTGCTTCATCTAATAGCTGTCTGGATTTTTGTAATCTAGATTTCATAGCTGAACTGTTAGCACTTGAGCTAGTCCAAACAAGAAATACAACCTGAATGCTAGCTATAACTTTATTGTAAGATTATATTATAATATAACCTTATTGTTATATTATCTCTTCTATAAAATACTTATTGTGCTTAGAGCCACAAAGGTATTTTGCAAGCACAACCTGGCTTTAGATCTATTCCATATTCTCAATATGGCATGTCTAACAAAATGATTTTTAAAATCTACATTAATCTTAGCTTTGTCGTACCAAAAATATCCATGCTACTCAAATCTCAAGTCATATCTTCTAGTCCCCAAAGCTTTCTATTTCTCAGCAATATCCATTCTGTTATCCAAACCAACAAAGCAGAAGTTGTACAGCAGGTACTGACCAGTTCTGAAGAACCGGTAGCAGAAATTTTGAGTAGTTTGGAGAACCGGCAAATACCACCTCTGACTGGAGATTTTACAGTATCCTTCCCCTGCCACGCCCACCAAGCCATACCCACAGAACTGGTGGTAAAAAAAATTGAATCCCACCACTGCAACTAAAGTATAAAA